GCAGTCAGCCCTGGACTGGTGGCCGCGGATCGACGCCGTGTACTGCCACGCCGTGGAGCTGCGCAGCATGTTCAGTGACACCCTGCACCGCGCCATGCAGGGCTGTGGGGCACACCCTGCCATCCGCATGACCCCGGTAAGGCACCTCCCACCTCACCTGGGCCCGGCCCTGCCCTCCTCTTCATCACCTTCACACTGCAAACACAGGGGGGAACAACACGGGAATGCACAGGGCAGCAGAGAGCCACATGTGCTCCATCGCCCTGCGGTGTTGGGGGATTGGCTGTTTCTACTTCTGTATCTCTCAGTTTTTTGTGCTGCTTTTAAACTGGCAACATAAAGTATTTCTCCTGTAACTGTCCTCTGGCTAMCTGTCCATTTTAAGCTTTCTGGCTGTGTGAATAACTAGCTAACATGTCCATCCTTGCTTAATGTGAAAAACAAAAGCATTCTGTATGTGGAGGTAATTGCTGAAAACTGCCGTSCTTTTACCATGATTGGCATGTTCATTTGTCTTGCTTTGTGTTGAGCAAGTTGACAGTTTGGTCTRTTTGGTGACAGCAGCAAAGTAAAGGTTTTTCAACCATTATGAAATAAAGTCAGTATTCTTGGCTGTCCTGGAGAAAGTCTTGAGTAAATTCAGATCTATAGTTCATCCAAATTCTTGCAGTAAGTCCACATACAGCTGTGTTGCTGCATTCTTCTTCTGAACATTCCTTGAGGACTTCTGCTGTGGCAAATGTTCTTGGTGGGTTGATTTAGAAAGCCTAAAATGAGACATAAAAATACTCCTGTTGGGGCTTCTCAACGGAGAGCAAATAAGCACGATGCTTTTGGTTGAAAGCTACACCATGTTTAACTTGCTTTTCACCTGTGTGTATTCATCTGTTGGACAATAGTTGCCCTGACAATAGCCCTGCTCTGACTGGTGGTGCTTTGTCTTCTGCTTCTCACTTTCCCTCTGCCTGGCYGCTGTCGCCCTCGTGGTCAGACGCCCGCCAGCCCCTGCTTTGCATGGCCCTGGGCCTCTGCTGCTGTAAGTATGACCCGTAACTACCGCAGAAAAGCCTTTCCTTGCGCTGACTTTTCTGTGCATAGTTACCCGCAGAGCCGGGGCTGCAGGGGGCCCTCGGAGCACCACTGGAGCTCTTTCTGCCAGGAGGGCACTGTGGGTTCTGTGCCCAGCACAGAGCTCTCCCCAGTGCCCCCTGCTCTGCTGTTAGAACTGGTTTCTAACTGCAGCCTGAACTCTCTGATGTTGAGCTCCTCCATGTGTGTCCTTGTCCAGTGCTGTCTGTCGGTGTCTGCTATTGCTCCCGGGTGTATTGCACAGGCCTGGCTTTGTTACTGACCATCTTCACTTTGGATTGTGTGAAAGCAATAAACAGCTTCACAGAAACACATCACCTTTTGCCACGTGCCTGTCCTAGAAATCCCTGAACTGTGGCAAAGTCAGGATTAGCACAGAGTTACCTCTACCACTGTGCTATCAATTTCTTGATCAGATGCTTTATGTTATTCCATAACACATTTATGTTTTATTCCATATATTTGTGCAATAACTAATGAAATAACATAAGGTTTTAATTTCTAGTAGAATTTAATGATCCAATGTCATATCTCATTGGTCACCTTGAAGATGATTTCAGCCTTTTCTTTTGCCACAGTTTGTCTCTTATGCAAAAATTTTTCTAACGTCCACATGCAGCTCACTGAAATAATGGTTAAGGGAACTTTATTAAATCTTTAAAGTGATGGCCTGTGGAAAAGGGGATTTTGAAGTAGAAGGCTATGTGATTGTGCTTGAGTTTTGTATACTTTTAAATTTTTTCTTGAATTATAGATATACAAGTGATACATTTCATAAGATGTTTAATTATAACTGTTATGTTTGACTACCTTCCTGACAAGGACTGTGATTTTTTCCTTCCATCAGAGCCTTACATTTAAGGAGAAAATGACAAGCCTTAAATTTAAAGAAAAACCTACTGATTTGGAAACCAGAAGCTACAAGTTCTTGCTGTTGTCCTTGGTGAAACTGATCCATGCAGATCCAAAGCTTTTGCTGTGTGTAAGTAAATCCTACTGTCATATTGTTCAGTCATAGTGCAATTTACTTTTCAAGCTACTAAATGAATAAAAATTAAAAACGTACACCTGGCCACCTAGGACACTTTCTACTCATCTTTATCTCTGGTTATGATGCTCCTGTGGTTTTAAAGGAAAAAAAACAAAAAAGAAACTGTAAGAGATTTTACAGAATCAGAGCAATGCAATGAGAGGGAGCATGAAATGCTGTGACTCTGAAGGGAAGGTGGGGGAAGGAGAGGGGAATAGAGGAAAATTAAAACAGGGGGGTTGGAAATTAGTCATCGTTTCAATGAGTACTGTCTTAGATCTTCCATTCTCTCTGGCCTGTGATAGTTTAATATAAAAATTTTCCAGTTCTGTCAAMGACATGATATACAAGGCGTGTCACAGATTAAAAATAAAACAACAGATTCTGTGAAAGATCCTGAAATCCCCCTAGTTCAGTGCCAGGAATGCTGCAGGAGCTGTCAGTAGTGTGGTCAAGCATGGAAAGGTTCTGTGCTCAGCCCGTGTTGGTGTTTTTCCTTGCAGAACCCCAGGAAGCAGGGCCCTGACTCGCAGGGCAGCACGGCCGAGCTGATCACGGGGCTGGTACAGCTGGTGCCACAGTCCAGCATGCCTGACATCGCCCAGGAGGCCATGGAGGTGAGTGGGCATGAG